GGTTGCCGATTCCTGATTTAGAATGATTGCTACGCATTACTGTTCTACTTTCGATTATCTTACGGATCTCCTTTTCAACATTTGATTAATAATTACATCATCAAATATTTATTCCTTTCATGCTTGCATATTTCTAGCACATTCAAGAAGCCTTCAAAAAAATACAAATCTTTAGGAATTTGGAAGTTTCTCCTACAAAGTTCTACAAAGTTTCCCCTAACCTTAAGGTTCCAGTCTCGAGCAGAATATTTAGGCGATGCCCAATTCGCAAAACCTGGACATTGATAATCCGGAGTTAGTTGGATTCACACTGTACTATTTACAAAAATGCATACGAGAATTGATACGGACAAAAACGCCTTGAAATATCGTTAACTGAACATCATATTCATGTGTTATGTTCTTATAAGATTGCTGAAAAAGCATTTTCTTAGGAATAAAAAGATTTTAAATTTGGAAACGCCTGTCCCTTTAGATGACTATATTTAATCAATTACAGACTTAACAAATTACAGATGAATAATAAGCTAAGTGAAATTATTACTGGAACTAAATTAGCAGAAAATAGTGCTTTCATAAACCTACAAACATCCGAAGACGAAACGTTTGAAGCGAATGGAAAATACACTCATGTCCATAAATAAAGGGTAATTCGAAGTCACGTGGAAAACGAACTCTAAAATAAATATATCACCTGTAAAATCACTACACACATTTTCAAGAATCCTATGCAAATTTCAGGAAATACCAGATGACACCGATGGTACGTCACAATGACGAGAGTGTAAAAGGGTGATATACAAGGAATATATGCAAAGAAGTAAAATTGTTCGCATGCGCTTTATAAGCTTTTTAGTGCAATAACCGTATAGTTATGACACAAAGGACGCATTTGGATGACTTTTTACGTGGTAGAATTATCGGCCGTCTGGAATGTGGGCGTACCCAACTGGAAGTATCAGACGAACTTGGAATTGCACAGAGTGTCATCTACAGGCTTTGGTAACGATTCCAAGATGATGGTAATGTGAGTAGACGTTAAAGCACTGGTCGCCCCAGAGTTACAACGCCGAATGAGGACCGGTATTTGGCAGTTACTGCTAAAAGAAACAGCTAGACCACAGCCTCAGACCTGTCTCGTCAGCTCTCTTCAGCCACTGGTAGGACAGTTTCAAGGCAGACCGTGTACAGACGCTTAGGGCAGATTGGTCTATGTGCTCGTATACCTGTCATATGCGTTCCACTTACTGCAACTCGCCTGCGGTTAGCCTGGAGTAGAGAGCATGCATTGTGGACACCGCCAACAGTGGCCTTGTGTGGTGTTTCCCGACGAGTCCAGGTTTAGCTTGCAGACTGATTCTCCCTGAACTTTCATATGGAGAGCTCCAGGTACCCGTTACCACCAAGAAAACATCATTGAACGACACCATTACGGTGGTGCAGGAGTGCTCGTTTCGGGTGGAATTATTCTGGGTTCCAGAACTGACCTGCATGTTCAAATTGAAACCATGACAAGCCAAATCTATCGGGATGTCATTCTGAAACAACATGTACGTTTGTTTCGGGGCGCCATGGGTGCACAATTTGTGTTTATGGATGACAACGCCCGTCCTCACCGTGCAAACATCGTAAGCCAATGCCGTCAATCGGCAGGATATCACCCGTATGACTGGCCAGCATTCTCACCGGACTTGAATCCAGTAGAGCACGTGTGGGACATGCTTGGCCGACGAGTTGCAGCCCGGTCAACCTCCTCCTACATGTCTACCGGAACTTCGGAGAGAATTGCTTTTTGAGTGGTGTAATATCCCCCAAGATCAGAACGATAATTTGATACTCAGCATGCCTAGGCATTGTACGGACTGTATTGCATGTCTGGGAGAATACAATGTATTAACAATCATACCAACCATGTAATATTGGGGTTTTTTTTTTTTTTGTAAAAAGGTTTTTTTTTTTTTTAATTTGCTCCAGGTAGAAAAAATCGCTAAATTTTTTAATAATATCAAACATATAGCATCTTTTTTTTGCTCTTTACCTTTTGTTTAATAAATAAGCTTTACAAATAAGTCAAATTTGTTTTGCTTCTAACTCTTCCTTTGCCTGATTTTGAATTATCCTTAATTTATGAACATTAGTGTATATAAGATAATTGATTAATAAAATTTAAAATATTAGAGCTCATTGGTTTTGCCAAGGCTAATAATAGATTTATTTTAAGGGGTATCGGAAACCCCTATACCGACAATGTTAAATTGGCCATTTTCGATGTACCTTTTCTCAAAATCTGCTGTAGATACAAGCTTGGATTTTTTTTCTGTAATTAAAGTATACCTCTCTGATTATACTGAAATGAGCTTTTGAAGCATTTGAATTTTAGAGTAAATTACAGAATATGTTTGTTAGGCATAGTAAAATTTAAATTTTCTCACACAAAAAAAATTTAATTTTTTTTCTAAGTTTATTACAAAAGCTCATTCAGTAAATATAGGAACTAATAAATAAGCCTAAAAGTTTAGATACCTGTGAGCAGTAGTACTGAGAAAAGGTCTCGAGTATAAAAAAATCACGTTTGAGAAAAAAAGCGTTTTTATGTAAAAATCCTCATTGATCAAAGCAGTAGATGACAAATTAAAACTAGAATTTTTTTACAGTTCTAATTTTCATAGAGATTAAAGAATGGTATTTTTAGAAAGATAAAAGTGTAGAGAATTTGAAAATGCAAAAATCCGAAATCACAATTTTTGAAGATTTTGGGGTTCCAACACCCCTTAAGGACATTGGGTTTCCGCCATAAAATCTTAATGTTAAATATTATTGGATAAAACTTCTGATGGACTGTTCACGAAAAAGTTATTTTTATATTGATCAGTAACATTTATATGACCGCAAATCCAGTAAGAAGGATTTAAAATAAATATGTGACAGACTGATTCGAAAATCAGTGATCTTCCTGTTAAAACATATCTGTAATATCAATATGACAGCTGCAATTTTTGTTAGCATTATCTGTGATTTGCACTACAACTGGTTATTATTATAATTATACTCTCTCACAAACCTTGCGCTTGAAAAGCTAGTATACAAAACTATTAGGTCTCGAATGCAGTAAATAAACTTTTTCTTTATTTCGGCAATCATATTTTAGTGCCCAAGCAGATTCATTAAAATGTATCTTGATAGGAGTTGTTTTATGCAAAATAGTTTCAATTACATACAATGGTTTTACATAGCTATCGGTTTGCGACTTCGACATACTCATGAAAGAAAGGATTGTAATCCCATATATGTAAAATGTGATTGCAAAAGGTGTTAAAGCTATAATACGCATTGAAATTGGAATATCTGAATCAACTGAGCGCCCAAATATGGGCTTCTTAGCTTTTTGATTAATACGTGAACAATTTTATGTCATTCGTTTCAGGAACAATAACGAATTAATCGCTCATAATTAATCAATGAATTGATCACCTATCACTCAATTAATTAATCTCTGACTGACTCGCAAAAGAGGGCTGCCAATAATAAAATGCTAACACTCAAAACATTCCACCACCTCGAGAGTAAAGCCTACACCCTATGGCAGTGATGGCGAACCTATGGCACGCGTGCCACAGTCAGCACGTAGAGCCTAAAATATTACTTCCTTGATCAATAATGACAATAAATTGATATTGTATAATTTAAATAAGTGTTTTAGTCTGTTCTTAGACGTTTCACTTACTTAATTATCACATAATGCCACTGGCATAGGTCCTAAAGCTTAGACATAAGATTTTCATATGTCGCCATAGAAAGGATATACGTATTTATTGATCCAATTTATGTTTCAATTATTTGGGCCAATCATATTACTTGTTACATGGCAAAGAATACGCTAAAGTTGAATCTGCTAATGTTTTCTAAACGAATTCAAATTTATTGCAGACTGCCGGTGAGTTTGAATACTTTCATTATTAAATAGATTCCAGTTTTCAGATTTAAGCGTTTTGAGGTAACTTATGAATAATTCTAACTTAATACCTTAAACGGAATGTACAAATATAATGTAAAAACATGCAAATTTATAATATAGCAAAAACGAAAGCTTAGTAGGGAAACCAAGCTTATTCACATGGGCTCAGCCAAAATAAGCCCAATTAAGCCGAAAAGGAGCATATGAAATTTAAAGTTAGAAGTTTAGCAAAGAGACGTCCGGGTAAACGGTTACTGTTGCCCCTGTTCATATTTGAATATGCAGGCATAAACTGTTGATTCGTAAAAATCCAATTCCTTACTATTGGCTTATAATTCATTACTCTTTTTATTATATGATCGATTAATATTTAACGCCTAATTTTAAACTTTTGTGCTTTTCTATACTCCAGGTCTTAACCCTCAAAGACTCTAGCAAAAAACGCAAAATTAAACATTGATAGTGGAAGACCATTTCAATAGAGCTGGACATAACCTTTTGGAGTTATTGAACACAATAAGAAAGAATTATATATTCTGTGCAAAGAAAGTATTCTGTATCGCACATCTAGTATCAGACGGCACTTTAACACCAACCACAAGATTGTTGCCGAATTTGATGAAGCTGAACCGAAGGTATTTATTGAAGGGAAATTGAGGAATTATAATTACCAGAAAGTTGTTTTTGTACTAGAAACAGCTGGTAATTATAATTCCTCAATTTCCCTTCAAATTCCATGTTTCTACATTATATTTATACATTTCGCTGTTTTTGCAATTATCCTTCTAAAACAAACCATCTAACGACGGTCAGCTTTCAAATTTCATTGTGCCTGGCAAAACATGGTAAACCGCCCTCCGATGGGATTTAATTGAACAGGTCCTGTTGCCTGGGAGTAACTCCCTTTTCAATAATTTCCAAATAAGGGCAAAATTAAACAACACATCACTGAAATGTCACTTAGCGGAAATACTGTTAAAGATAGAGTTCCTGCGGATGGCAAGTGTCATTAGCTCACCACTGCCTTACAAAAGATAGCCTGTTAATGTGCTTGGATAAAAGTATATATGTAAATAACTATGCAAGGCTAGCAATAATTTTGCGTTATGCTGTTGGTGATATGATGAGAAAAGAGCTGGTTAAATTGGCATCTTTTTCTGAAAGAACTGTGATGGAAGCTTTTTTGCAAGACATAAGGCCAGGAAAAGTAGTTTCAGTTACTAGAGATTGTGCGCCTTGCACGTTGGGAACAACATCTGGTATCATGCAATTCTTTGTTAAAGAACCAAAACATCCAGTTATTCAGTTTCATTGTCCCATTCACCAAACTCTTTGTGCTAGGGACAGCTGCAAAATATTAGACAATGCTCTCAAAAATGTCACCAAAATGTTGAATTACATCAATGGTTCGAACTCTTAATTGTCGACAGTTTCAAGCACTTCTTGATGAGGTTCGAGCACAGTATAACACTTTGCTTATGTACAGTAATGCCAGATGTTTGAGAAAAGGACTGGTTTTAAAGAGAGATCTGTAAGCTGTTTGGATGAAATTAAGCTATTTTTGAATTAAAAAGGGCAGGATTATCTACAGCTCACTGATATGGTCTGGCTTAACAACGCTATGTTTTTTACAGATTTTACACAACACTCCAATGTACTGAACAAGCAACTGCACGGCTTGGGAAAAACGGCAGAAAAGATGTTTTGCAATATAAACCATTTTAAAGAAAACTGCATGCTTTTGAAAAGAGATCTTGCATTGGGCAGCTGAAATACTTTCCAAATTTAAAGATGCATCTAGAAAATTCTACACAATTTGCATACAGTCCTTCAAATAGTGAAGAAATCTACAAGAAATTTTCGAGCATCATCGTAGCAGCTGCAAATGAGAATTTTAATGACATATTTCTACAGTTCCGTCAGATGGAAACAACAATGTGTTTTTTTACACTCTTAGACAAAAAAAAAAAAAAAAAACGACGCACCAGGAAGAAGTTATCCGAACCCTTATGCAAGCAGTTATTTGGCTTGGCATCGATTGAGAGAGTTTGCGGATGTCCTTCTGAAGGATATCGTTCCAAATTCTGTCCAACTGACGCGTTAGATCGTCAACATCCCGAGCTGGTTGGAGGGCCCTGCCCATATTGTTCCAAACGTGCTGAATAGGAGAGAGATCCGGCGACCTTTCTGGCCAAAATAATATTCGGCAAGAACTAAGGCAAGCAGTAAAAACATGTGCAGTGTGGGGGCGGGTATTATTTTGCTGAAATGTAAGCCCAGAGTGGCCTGACATGAAGGGCAACGCAACGGGCCTTAGAACTTCTTCGACGTACGGTTGTGTTGTACGGTTGCGACGGATGACAACCAAAGGGGTCCTACTATGAAATGAAATGAAATGGCACTCCAAATCATCACTCCTGGTTGTCGGCCTGTCGGCCGGAAGACAGTCAGGTTGGTATCACACCGCTATCTAAGGCGTCTCCAGACTTGCCTTCGCTGGTCATCGAGGCTCAGTTCAAAACGGGACTCATCATGGAAGACTATTCTACTCCAGTCAGGGACAGACCAGTGCGAATGAGCCCGACACCACTGCAAACGGGCTTGGCGTTGTACAGAGGTCAGTGGTAGTCGGCGCAAGGAGCGCCGTGACCTCAGCCCCGTCTCTTTGAGCCGCCTATGTCCTTGCGGTCAATGAAGCATTAGTTGAAAGTACAATCGATGATAGTGATGCATCTGGTACTGTGAGTTCTGCTCTGACGATTACTCGGTCTTCACGTTCTGTCGTTTCTCTAAGCCTACCGCTTCCTTCTTGACGCTGTCTGCGGCCATGGTTCACCCATGCCTGCCAACATCGCCTAATAGTGGCATCGCTCTTGCTCAAATGTCGAGCTATTTGCCGATAAGACCAACCGGCTTCTTTGAGCTCAACTAGATGACCTCTTTCAAATTCCTGACATCTGCGCATATCGTTCGCGCACCTGTATGCGAGGCAGTTACTGTCTACCAGAGTACATGGAATTAAATTCGTAAAGAAGTTTTATGACCTTGGAATCGTCATTTCTCCTCTTAAATATCCTGCCAGTTGCTCAGATAAGATGCGCTGTAGCGCTAACCGTTCATTCATTGGCAGCCAAAATGTAAAATTTTGTTTTTTCTATCGAAACCTGTAATCATATCAACTTGTGTCCAATTTGCTTTATATCTTCTCGGTGCGTCATTTTGCGTCTTTTTTTTTTTTTTTTTTTTTTTTGGAGGGGGGGGTCTAAGAGTGTACTTTTGCAGATAACTCTAAGTTTGAAATTCTAAGTAATTGAAACTCTAAGTAAGAAAATTCTCTGATCTGCGTGCAACACTTGAGAAGATGGAGTGTAAAGAGATCACACAGGACAGCGCAACTGATAGTTATGAAAATGAATATTTAAAGCGTGGAATTCTCTGCCAAATAAGTTTAAATTAATGAAAACACCTGGGGGTGCTATTCTTAATTTGTTTGGATCATCCTTATTCATGTGAACAGCTGTTTTCAGCTTGGAATTACATCAAATGTGACACAAGAAACAGACTGACAGATAACCTGAGTGCCACGCTTAAATTAGCGAAGTATGAGCTAAGGTTTGACGTATTATCAGCATATATACAACAGCAAAATCCCATTAGTTACGCAAAACCAATCTATTTTCTGTAATATATAATTTTTTGTATCGTTAAAAACTCTTCTTGTTTTTTCTCTTTAAGTTTTAAGACAAGTGTGTGTTGTTTTGCTAAGCCAATACCCCATTTTCAGGTTTAACTGGAGTTTTGGCATTTTGCTATAAATAAGTGGGTTTTGGTTGAATTTGGGCACGCGGCCCCAAAAAGGTTCGCCACCACTGCCTTATGGCAAGAAGAATGGAACACCATACAACGAGGAAGATGCACATATTATCATTTTCAAAAGCAAATAGACACCAAAAGATCTTCATATCAAAATTACATGTGTTATTAGTAGACATGAACCCTTCCCTCCATATTTCCACAAATCTATGACGCTGGCCGCTGCATGTGGAGAGCAAAGCACCCCAGACTACCACTTAAGAAACAGCCAAGTAACAGAAGGACTGCATATAAAGTTTCCAAACAGCAATCTTCGCACATTCAGGAGATATGTAATTATGGTACATCACTTAATACTGAAAATCTGCAAGATAATGGGTGTGATCTCCCAGCACGGAAAAGATCTGTATTGCGCTGCGTAATAAAATAACCTCAGGGAGGAACAATTTATTACGGAGTTTATATTATAGCATAATAGCACTTCCTAAACGGATAATATTGAAATGGACCATACATAGTATCATAGAATCTATGTAGCTTAAAAGACATATGAACTTATGTGACTTGACTCATGGACATATGAACTAATATTTCATGTCCTGAATATGAACTTTTCTACATTTGCCCCGTACTTATTTAGCATTTTATGCATGATCAAGAATCGAATTGGTTAATTCACTAACAAATCTATGTATTAATACTATACACATTATGCACTTTAGATTTTGATTGAATTCTATTGCATTTTATTGCCTATTTACATTACTGTTCTGGCCTGCTGTACATTGTTATATTCGTTCGCATATTATTATGTATATAACCTTAAGACCGCTCTGTTGTAAGTACATAACCTGCAGTACGTAACCTTTTACCTGCGTGCTGCCAAATGGATAATGGAAATACAATTGCGGATTTACAGTGCTCTTTGCTCGCCTCGTGAACGTTTGCCTCCCTAGCGGGAGCTTTCCTACTCGATAGTGGCGGACGTGTGGCAAAACCAAGTAATCTAAAGTAAACAGGCAGTGCTCCAGTTGTGCGTCAACAGCCAATAAATTAATGTTATGAGCAATAACTCCATTACCTATAACCGCAGATGACTGTACTCAAAGCAGTACTAGAGTGATGCTTCATTATTCATCAAGAAACGTATAACAAATTAATGTTTTATTTGTAAATTCCAAGAGATGTGCTCTAATTTTAGTAATTGCCTGAAATGTTACAAAGCTACTTGGGAATTAGTAACAACTGTCGAGTAAGGCAACACATGAAAGTTAATATGAAAATAGTTTTTGTAATATCAGTTACGGTTGAATTACGAATATAAATATTAACAAATTAAGAATATAAATTTATAAATATATTATATTTAATATTAATAAAATTTGAATTACGAATATAACTATAAATATTAATCGTACTCATGCATAATATGTGACAGAAATATTTGTCTTTGGACAGCACACAGTCCATGCTATGGAACTAGGTACACTGGAGTTGCTAGTTAATTCAAATATGATCTCATGTGATGACAAATCATATTTTAATTTCGAAAGGTTTGTATTCAGAGGAAAATTCAGTTAAAAATTTTATATTGTTACCTTCAAATTTTATTCACTATTAAAGATGAACTTATCAAATGTAACTAATTTGTTGGTACAAGAAAATAAACTTTGAAAATATTAGATTTCGAAATAATATACCCATCATCTAAATAGAAATACCTCTAAAAAATAAAAGGGAAGAAAGTTTATATTTAATACCCAAGTAGAAATTTCAGCTCTCCAACCGAATGAGAAAAAATCGCCGTTGAAAACTCGTATTCAAGCAGTAGTCAAAATGTCACCAAAATTTTTTGTTTTCTATTTTTCACTTTGGGAAGAAGTATAAATGTCTGAAAAGTTGTCAACTATGACGTCCTCGTAAGGAAAAATAAGCTTTTTATTTCAAACATCAGAAGAAAGAATATCCAAAACCCCATCTGACGTTCTACTCGGTTTCATTTGAGAGGCCACGGCGATTTTCTAAAAAAAAAATGAATAAAAAATAAGACACCGATTTGCTATAATGTGGCGAAAATGGGTTTCTTTACTTCAGAGTTGTATTTCAAGTTTCAAAATCGACTGAAGATTTTTCAGTTCAGTTCAACTGAAGATGAATGGCGATACCTGGTTTTTATCAATGTTTACCATATATGGTCCCACATTAAAGGGTGTGTATGTTTTCTTTTAGCGAGGAAATACTTTATGTACTATTAAGGTGCACATTTTTACACAGGTTTCTTGAAGCCAATTTCCTCCGGTCGTGTGAGAGAGATTTATATATTTACAATGAAACGCTGGGAAATCTTTAAAATGATACTCTAAAATTAAGGTGACAACTGAAGCTTCAGGAGATTATAAGAAATATACAATTTTTCTAGCAATATATTACGCTATCGTACAGCAAATTATCTGATATATGGTAACGAAAATTAAATGTCCCTGACCTTGGAGACCGCATTACTCAGGACTTATAAGGATGGTGCAGTGGTCAATTTATATTAATAATTGTGCACACTAATGTTTGCAATTGAATTTTCATATATTATTTATTATCATACATTTATTT